ATGACAGACGCACACACGGACACACAGACAACCTCTCGTCAATATGCGTTTTTCGCATTGAATTGCTGCAAAAAACGCATAAAAAGGAACCTGTGCACTGCCAAAGGAAGATGAATAAAAAGAGGGAAATAAAGGTGACTATACAGAAGATTAATATTGCAGCAGTAGGAGGAAAAGTAAAACTAACATGCTGAAATTTAGGGGGGACATTTCTGTGACTGTGCAACTGTGAGAATTCAAATTCAGCTTCCAAGTATGCCTCAATCTCACTTACGGAAACGTGAAAGTTTTGGCGAGAAATATTACATCCTGCGATAGACCCCGGCCCTTGTCAGACGTGTTTTAAAATGCTGCTCATTAATACTACACAAAGTGGAAAAAAAGACAAACCAAGTCAATGATTTTCTGGAAATTTACGCCAACTGTACAGCTGGAAATGTTTTCGCGGCCGGCTGATGAGTGAATGAGAACGCTTATCTTTTTTGAACGAATTTTCGAAGCACGATAACCAAATACAAACAGCAACGAGTCAATCACATTACTCTTACCACTACCATTTGGGCCGATAATTGCCGAAAAATTCTGCAAAAATATAATATTCTCAAAATATTATCATGCAGCAATACAGAGAAACATGCCAAAAACAATCCAGTGTAAAAAGTATATCATCAAAAACAGTGAGAATTAACTTAAACGAATAACAACATGGGTTTCTACAAAAAAATTAATGTTAAAAATGAAGTACTGGTATTTTCTCACGTAACTGCACCTCTTGCAAAACTTTTAAAACGTTAGTTTTCTAAATTATTACTTTTTCATTTCAAAAACTGTCGCAATCTTCTCCTTGCAAACTTTACACTCAAAAGAATACCGGTACAGCTAGCAGCTGTAGTTTTTCACTCTCTAGTACAAGGGTTTCAAAGCTTTGGCGATTTTTGCCACAGTAACAGACTTGAAATTTTTGAATCTGTCGAGGTCTTCGCCAGTATTATTTGCAGTAATTTACTGTTCTCCTGTTTAACGGTTTACAGAAAGAATCCAGGTTTGCTTTTGTTTTCTTTCAACTTTAAAATATTTTTCTACCACAAAAAGAAGCCAGAATGAAGTGCCTCGCCTATTATGATAGAAAGCTTTCATTCGAACGTTTCCTTCGCTTTAAAAGCCGAATCTCATTCTGACTCCCAAAGGAAGATAGTGCCATTTAGACCACCCAAACTTTTGGGATTCAATGGTTAAATCGAACAAGCATATGAACAAGATACGAAAAAATAATTGGACTAATGGGTTTTTCTACAAAAAAAAAAAACAAGCAGTAGGAAAAATGATGCGCAGAAACTTACATGATGGAATGGACCAAGCACATGTTTGCCATAATATGATTTAAAATTTTCAACATCGATGCTTGTTATCATAAGTCGCTGTCCACTTCCATCTGCACTCATAACTGGCTCCGGCAACGGAGGGATTTCCATATTCAGTAGATTCTGGAACAAAATTTTTGTTATTTTAGGCCTTGAATTAACCCCATATTCGCTCGGAGGCTAACAAAGGCACATATGTACATACACTGTGAAAGAATAAGTTCTATCAGGAACCCAAAAATTCATTTTTTTTCATTGAACTAATCATATTTGCCCCAAGAATTGCAAAGGCACATATACGTGAAAAAACAAAGGGTCTACAGAAACAAAATAATTCTTTTTTTTTCATTTTTAGTTCAGACCATATTTGTACATTTCATAGCCAAAAGCTGTAGTCCCTTTCTTTTTTTTTTAAAAAAAACCTGTAAAAAAGAAATTCTACTCAAATCTCGCAAGTATTTTAACCCCAGTTTTGAGGCTTTTTTTAAACTGAATAAAAAAAAACCATCAAATGTGCCACTCTTCCGAAAATCGACGGGAGGAACTCACATTTTGGTGTGTGTTACCCGTCAAATAGAGCACCCCTATTCATAGAATACTTGATCGATCTGACTAGTCACAAATACAGTAAATCCGCATTGGATAAGGAACTTAATGGAAAAATCCTTCACCTCATCATTGACGTCGTTGCGCATCTGCGCCCGCAAATCTTCCTCATCGCTTTCCGCTTCCGAATTCTGGGTGCGCTGAGGGCGCCGTTTCGCCGCTGTAAAAAAAAAGGATTTTCTCTTTTTAATGTATTATAGATGTGCTAGTGAAACACGAAATATCTGGAAACGATTCTGTTGAAGCTTCTTACAACTACTAAGATTTCGTCTCTCGGTCAACAAAACACTTCATTTTAGCCTAGAAATAATAAAGAGCTAATACTTCGCTCAATATAGAACCGGAACAGGCTGATGGCGATTTTTTTGAAGCTTCTTACAGCTACTAAGATTTCGTCTCTCAGTCAAAAAAGCACCTCATTTTGGTATTGAGATAATAACGAGCTGATATCCCGCTCAATATAGAACCGGAACAGGCTGATGATGATCAAAATTACCCACAAAATGTTAAGAGTACGAAGAAAACCAGCAAGATCATCTGCCTGGGATGTACAGAGTGATACAGATACGATTAGCACAAGAATGTAGTCGGTGGAGAAAAGTTGCTAGATGCAAAAAAAGATGGAGATCAGGCCGTGTATTAGGAATTAATTTACAAAATTTCAAAGAACAGAATGGTAGTCTTTTAAAATTAAAAACCTCCAAAAAATTTTTATTTTATTTTCGTCATTTTCACTTCTCTTTTTAATTCACCATGCTGCATTTTGCTAATTCTTCTGCTGGTTACACTGACGAGGTCCAGTTGCAGCACTGAATGGGAATGTATGCGACTTAATGAACCGAAACATTCCAATTCGGATTCTATTTTTTACTTTTACTTTTAACTTTGTCACAACCTTTTTCATAACCATAAAATATTTGAATTTAAATTGGAGCAATTTGTACTGCTAATTACTGTTACACCAACGTCTTTCCAATAAACCAGACCAGAGTTAAGAATAAATTCAAGAAATACCACTGGGCGCAGCGGTTCTACTTTTCTCGCCTTCTTCCGGTGCTGGTGTCGTCGTTCGACGTGCTTCCTTCCGGCGAACCATCGTTATAAGTGCTTGAACAATATTAGTACTGCTCACTGAACACGAAAATAAAATATGCTGAAAAAGTCATTTTTCGGAAGTCGTCAACATCAATTCACCAGGCACAAAATTACGAAAACTATTTGATACGTGTGAAAAAAATAAACAGCAACGCGCACCAGATTAGCCGGTGCAATCGTGCGCTTTGCGCAATTCAGCCCATCGAACGATTGCCTATTAGTGATTTACACTGCTTTGGACTTTAGTCTATGCAAAAACAGTTCAAACATCGGAAAATAGTTAAAAATTTCACTCACCAACGCATGAAAGCTGAATTCGAAACCTTGAAGGGTGAATATCTTTCCGTGACTCCCAAGTTACCCACCAAAATTTTCACGAGGCCGTAGGTGATATTCAAGAGCGCGGGAACGCTGAATTTGAATGGGCAAGGTTGAACATGGGCAGGAGGTCAATACCCTAAAATCCCAGCCTCCTATACTCCGTGGTTCCAGAGATATTAATTTACCAGTAAAAAATTTTCACGGGGCCGTACGCATTATCCGTGGGTACGGGGAAGCTGAATTTAAACTTGCGGGGTCACACGTGGGTGGGAACGTTCCCCTAAATTTTCAGCTTCCTAGCCTTTGCGGTTCCCGAGTTGAAAGTTGCGGACAAGTTGCTGCGGACACACACACACACACACACACAC